TATATATATATATATAAAATATATTCTGTTTATTTAAATAAGTACATGGTTGTGTATAACAGTTTTTTGCATATGTGCATTTTAATATTCTATTACGATTTTGTATTTTTTTGTAACCTTATTTTATATATATCTTGTTTCATATCTTGTTTTTCATATCTTTCACACTATTAAAAATAAAAAAAATTAGATTGTTAATATCACTAGTATCTATTGCAGTGATGGAGAAATATCTTCTCAGAGTGATACATCAAGCGCTATACAGAATGATTTACAGAAAAGATTCGCATATTTGAAAAATTCAAATATAACGCTAAGTCAAATGTTCTTGATTTTATTCGACGTTTTGCAAGAATTCTTATTGTTTACTGGAATTGATGGAAAATCATGTTTGGATCAACAAGTATCTGCAATCGAAGATCCGTTAATTGACATTAACAACAATCTTTCTACAAAAACTACTCGCGATATTAAACAAGATGATTTTAATACAGGAACCATGAAAGATTTCGGTAATGATAATCATATAATCTAAGATTTTCACAAACTCTTTTAATACGAAAACGAACGCATCCAAAAGTGCGATAACAAGTGATTATACTTCCAATAATTTTAAAAACTATTATGCGAATTTAGAATCGAATCGTTATACGAGCTGTTCTCTTAAATCGACTGCCTTTTACTCCAAGAATTGCAATTTTGCATGCAAAAAAAAACCTGCAACCATCTTAACGAGTTCATCAATGAAAGACATATTTGGTGCTACTTCCTCTCCCATGGCTCACAGAAAATCATCATATCGAGATATTAGTAAAGATTTTTGCGTAAGCAATTATAATAGTTTTCCATGAAGCATTAAATTATAGCATAGTGCGTGTAATGTCAATGATTTTTATTTAGGCAGAAAAGATGGTAAAGATAAAAAGATTAAAATCGCCTCGTTATCCCAAATGTAATTTAACGTGTCACTTGTGCAAAGTGAAGGATCCACTGTCCCTGCGAGAGAAGCGAAAATTACCTTGCAGAACCGAATGTTTGAACGACGGTATAACGTTACCAGTGTGCCCAATGGATCCTTTATTAATTACTGACAGACAAGGTCTCATTGAGATTCACATTTCGCGATTGCAACTTTCTACATCGGTTAGTATATATCATACATTTTCCATTTCTTGAAATGGAGAATATAATCTTGTTATATTCGTTGAGATTATTAGGTTACAAATATTCCCGACGAAGAAGATATATGTAGTCTTCACATTTACGTAAGCTGGGATATTTGGGGCGAAAAGACCGCTTATACACCGAGAATGGAGTGCCCTAATCTGATTTTCAATTCGTCCTTCGTATATCGTATAGCGGATCTCTTCTCATTCTTCAAAAACGTACTGTCGGAATATCTCATCTTTCGAGTGAACATTGTTCGCCGAGACGGTACTAACTACACGTTCGCCCGAGGGAAAGTCTCCATCAAAGATATTTTAGATTATCCGCAGAACAAGTTGCATTATATCGTTCCTGTGAACAGTGTAATTTGTTCTTGCTTCGGCGTTAATTTCGGGCAACTATCGTTGTGGGTCCGGTTGAGCTGCAATGTCGATATGGTTGAAGCTTTTAAGAAGCAATGCGGCATAAGCTCATTGAAAGATACTCTCCATGCGCCTCCAATAAAGGACATATCTAAGAATTCTCTTCCTCAACATTCTACAAGACATATCGTTGACATAGTGTCGTTCAATGATCGGCAACAAAAGGATAGTTCGGTGTCTGAAGATTCAACGGATATCCAAGCGCCATTAGACTCAAGTAACATTGCTCGATTGTATGTAATTAAAATTTGTATATATATTGGATTGGAATATTTGATTGAAAACTGCAATTTATTAGATAATTATATTATTTTTCTATATGATTAAGTCGATTGGGATCGTACTAGTAGCAATTGTATTATAATCAATCATACAAATATTATATTATCGTTTTGGTGAATTAAATTATATTAATTGCATATATTGAATACTTCAATACATAACATCATTTTATCAAAATCATAGATTTTCAATATGAAAATGAAAACTCGGACGAGGAAAATTTTTATATCAATTCAAATAATGAAGAATTGTCCATCAATGAAACGAATAAAATGTCTGAAGAAGAAAATGGAACGATTGTAATGAAGTGAGATTTCTTCTTTGCTCTCGTTGTATTTTTCTACGCTATTTAAACTGCTCGCAAAATTGAATTTTGCAACTTGAAAAATAATTTTAATTAGTCTAGATTACAAAACGGATAATAGTAAGGAGAATAAGGAAAATAATGCTTCGAGGGATTCACCAAGCGTGGCGGAGTTCAAAACATTATTGGCGAATGTAAGATATGTTTAGCATGTTATGGAAAACTTTCGCGATTGTATGAGAAATAGCGAAAGCGTGTTATCTGTAAATTATCGAGATTCCGGACATATTCAGGGTATTTCGTTGCTCGAAGGATCAAGCAGCACGATCCGCGATATGGACGAGATTCTCTCGGACAGAAACTGGGAGAGGTATAAGCAGAGGAGTCTGCTGACTTTTGCCAGTACACTTAGTAATTTATTACATTTGTATTCATGTATGCTGATTGAATAGCTCGGTACTGAATTAGTCCAAAAACACTTGCAGGAGCTAATTCGTTAAACGTGGAAGCGCAGGATTACCAAAATGACATCTCTACTTGCGTACGAGACTGTTCCATTAGTTATACTTAGATTCTTCGCAAAGAGTGCTGGATTACAAACATAAATTTTCTGTAATAAAAAAAAGCTACCGACTATATTTTATACTGTTTAGTTATTTAACGCTGCAAGTTAAATAGCTACAGCAAATTAAGCTTCAGAATTTAATTTTTTAAAAATTTAATTAAATTTTAATTATTAATTATTAAATATTAATTTAAACAAATTTTCGATTTTATTGTTTAATGCAAAAAATTAATTGCTGAATAAACTAATAGAATTTTCGTCGAAGATATATCATCCATAAATTTATAGAAAATTATATTGTTATCATAATAAATTGTCATACTTTATGACGCAGCATTTTAATAATACTTGTAATGTAAATAAATTAATGCATTGTATACCAGCACATTTCTGATGGAAAAGCATACCTAAAAATATTTTCGCTAAAAGTATATCAATTTTCAAATGTACGTGACATTGTATGTAGATTAATTCAACGCAATTCTGATTTGAATACGCCCTTTTCAGCGCAATGAAAAAGATGCAATAATCATAGAAATAGTGAGTATGCAGTTTTTCGACGACAGTTGCGTGATGCAGGACGATCAGATACATTTGCTTTACGTAGAATATTCTTTCCTCGAGAAACATGGTGAAGATATGGAGACCATTTCCATGGAAAAACCAAAAACAAGTGCTCAAGAAATGGTCTACAAATATAAGAAAAGTATATGCCTTTATACGTAAGAGCAAATATTTAGATTAATATTATAAGTTAATAAAAAGATGCGTCTTGAAATATGATGTAAATTATAAAGAAAAATTATCATTCAGAAAGTATGTAGTGTAAATAAGTACAATAGTTTTGCGTAATTTTAGAATTTTGGATAAATGAAGTGACACATCCCGTACAAAGAGACAATTTGCGTGCCATGTTAGCCGAAGACATAAGTCCAAATATCAATTTTACTGTTATTAGTGAACCATTACCCGAGGACAGGGAAGTTAAAGATTGCGAAGAAGTGGGGCAAGTATAATGATCTATTTTATTTGGAATTTTCGTAATATTATTGCAAATATATAGAAATTAATATCTATTACTTCATGTTTCCTAGCTCTTACCAATAATCTTTAATTTTATAAGATTGATTTGAAATTTAATATTTAATAACTAATTTATAATCTCTTCTTTTAGTTATGCAACTTTTAATATAAAAAAATATGCACTTGGTGATGAGTGCAAATATATATTATTGCCGATCAAGGATAATAAAAATAGAGAAATTGGGACGCTGAAGGTAATACATATTATACGTTATCTCTTTATTAATAATTATTAAATTTAAATTTATTACAGATCTCTGTGTCTGGTATGAATGCTATTCGACAATGTTTACCAGAATTAAAATAGATTGCATTTGGTACGGATAGCAATATGAGAGGCAAATGTTACATGCATTTAGATTATTAGAAGATGATCGAATTGAAGTCAAAAGATCAGTATTCTGGTTCAACAAGAAGAATTCAATTTCTAAACAGATTTATTCAAAGTTTATTCAAAATTGTTCTACATATTTTCTAATACATTAAATTATGTTGTAACGTCAAATTGATAAACAATATTGATACATTTATTAATCTTTAAACATCTTGCTCGTACTTTCTTGAGTTTATATAAATTATTGTTGGTTTACAGAAGACTTTGTTTAGCGCTGAATTTTTTGATCGTTTTTCTAGCGTTTCCTTACATTTTTGTTAAGATATCTAAGTCTTTTCCTTTTCTTCTTTGTATCGATGCAGCGTGTTATTTAATTGCAACGTGTTATTTTGTTGAACTATATTATTCGTCGAGATTTTAGCGGTGCTATTATCCTTATTATCTTTCTGAAGCAATCGCTCGATCTCTTGATGTTGCTTTTTCATCTCTGACGACAGTTTACTTCGGCAAAATATATCGTTGTAGATATTTGTAGCTATCTGAAACTCTCTGCAATCCTGCGGGCTACGGGCAATTGACCAAACACCCACTATCGTGTCGATACCCTGGCATACTCTACACGCACCTGTGTATATTATTGTAGATCTTTTTTAAAATTTTTTACTGGTTCCTCGCGTGTAACATTTATCAAATGCGAAAAAATTAATTTACTCCGTCGCCTATTATACCTGCGAACACCGCCAGAGATTTCGCACGATTATCAACGGCAAGTAAGGAAAACGGCCCACCCTTCGTAAACGGTGCATATCCGGTTAAATTCCAGGCGAGATCCAATAAACCTTGATGAGCGGGCGGAGGTGATAATTTTGCGAGCGTTACATTTATGGTGCGATTAATAACTTTCATGTCTATTCGTACTCCACCCTGGATAGTTATCCATGAACCCGATATCTTGCAAGGCAAACCTATGTTAGAAAACCATTATTTAGAAATATTTTGTTTTGACATATTACATTCTCTTAGGCTGCACCCTTTCAAGTAAACTTGTCAAGTATGCATGTGCAAGCCACTTGTGCAAGTTTATTTGAACATATGTGGCCGGACTTCCAAAATAATGCATAAATTTTAATTTGATTAATAAAATTTTAATTTTATCAATAAGATATAGATATATTGGTTAGTTGAAATTTCTCAAAGAGGACTTTATTGATATTTGATGCCAAGTATTAATTAAATATCGAATTAAAATTTAAAGCAAATTAAGATTATGCAGTAACCTTCTATCTGTTCATTTTCAGTGGCTCGATTTGATTTAATTTCTTCCAATTCGTCAACAATCTTCTCCAATATCTGATTAGCAACTTCTTTGGTTTCGTTTAACGTCGTAGAAATATTCGCACGTTGTATTTCTTCCGTTGTCTTTATTGAAATCGCAGGTACAAAATTATCAGGTATTTGGTCGTTCGTTGGTTTATTATTTGTGTTATTGTCGCTTTGGAATTGTCCATGAATAATTCGAATCGCTTTCTGTTCAATTAACCCTTGTTTCTGACCATTGTTATACCAACTCTGTTTGATCCCATTTTCTCGATCGGGAACCAAGACATGTTCTATTGGTCGATTGACAATTGATTGAGAAAATACCGGAGCGTGATTGATAATTTTGTGCATGGCTTGACTCATGGGAATAACAGGATAAACATAATCATTAGATATACGCGCTATTGCAGGTCCAACATCCTTCTCAGCAATGTAAACATTCGAAGTTCCCGGAATTTTGCGAAGGATGTGCGGCACATCCATTGAAGTACCGGAATAGAGCACTTGCACTTCTTGAGGTTTGTTCATCTCTGGTATAATACTTAAATTTGAATACAAAGGAGGAACTCTTAGATCCTGATATTGTAGCACATCGCTAGGAATATGTTCGACTTCGATTTGCGGACCAAGAATGGTATCCGTACTAGTAGTAAAAACTTTCGCGAGATCAAGATCAGAATTGATAAAATTTTCAGTAGGAGATTCCATCTCATTGATGTATTTGCTTTCTTTAGATCGATTAATAGTTCGACCTTGAAACTGATAATCCTTCTGTGTTACCTCGGGGATGTACAGACTTTCTGAATTGATTTTTTGATCAATCAGTATCGGCAAGTACGTAGACGCGTAATCGACAGCGTTATCTTCATTTGCTTGACCGATCATAGAACGATCGATTTCCCAAGGTTTTAACAATTCATAGTTGTAAGTTAAATCTTTGCCATACGAATCTCTGTCTGTGAATTGCTGCTTGAATCGTGAATGATTGATTAATGATTTGCTGGCAAAGAGAGGATCGTTTGAGATTTGCCTAGCGATTCTGTCGTTTCCAATCTCTGTTTTATCTTTTGATTGCTTTTTAATTGGTTTGACATCGTCGTTGTTATAATACTCTGAATATTCGAATCCATGATTGCTGGAATCTTTTTTAAAATTCTTTGTTCGTAGTAAGCGTTTAATCTTCTTATTTGGCATTTCACTGATTTTTCGATGCCTTTGTCTTAAGCGATTATCTTTTTCACTTACAAAGTTACGTTCAGCAATGTTATTTTTAATCATTTTATTCACAGTATTTTGGTTTATCCCATCAATATTAAGAGGTAGATTTATTTTTTGTCGTTTCTTCTAGACAATAAATGTTACTAATTAAATTAATATTTAAGTAGAAGAATATCTCGAATAATAAAATCTTTCTTTTACTCACTTTAATATGATTTTGCTTACGTAACCAAGGATGTTCTTCGAACCTTTCTAATCCATATTTATTTCTCTTTCTTGTCCTCTTTTCATTACGATTTAATAATTCATTCAGTTTTCTCGTACTTACTATTGGTTCACGTATACTTTTCATTCTATCTACCAGTAAACCTTTCATGTTAGAATGATTACGTACAGTAATCCCGCTCAGATTTGCCAATTTCTTTATATTACGTTGTAATTGCGGCGATTCGAGAGCTTCCTTCGCTAATTTTTGTGCTAAGGATTTAGTCTTTTTTCGTTCGGGATTAAACGTAGCCTCCAAATCTATATTTTTGTCGAATCTTTCATTAGAAACTTGCTCGTCCAAATTCGATCTTTTCACCATCGTTTCCTTTTTACATGTATTATTATCTTGCATGCGGAAAAAATCCTTTGCAGGCGGGATAATTGATTGCACAGCAAACACGTCATTGCAAATTATTCTGACTAATAATAATATTATCATGACGAACCTGATCACACGTAAGAAAAAGCTGTTGTGTATATATACCGTATCGCAATAAAATTTGGCAATACTTAAGATACCAAAGATGTGTACAATGCCAAGAATACCTGTAGCGTTTGCTTATATTTCTTGGTATCATTTACAAAGCATTTGCTATTCTAACAAGAAAATTCTTCCTTCCTTTCTCTCGTTTTTGATTTAAGATTTATTTGTTAATTGTAGCTCGAGTCTTACGATTCCGCATTTCATCGGCGAAGACGAGAAATTGCACAATTCTTTGAGTTTCTCGTAACTACATCGATATATGTGTAGATAAAAATTTACGAGCGATAAATCGACACGTAAATGTTGCTTTCTTCTCGCCAATCTCATTTTGTCGCGAATGCCTTCATTAGACTGAATAAGACATTCTCACATTGGATTTAGCTTTGTTTTGTGTTCAGAGTTAGTACAATTTAAATCTTTAAAAATTATAATTTAAAAAATAGAAATATATATAAGATATAATTTAATTATTTTCAACATTACTGAACTTTAGTATTTCTTCGCCAAAATTTTATATCACGTTAAAACATTGTTAATTATAACCATTTTCCAGAATAATTAACATTTTTATAATGTTAAACTTGTAACGCTGTATTACATATTGTAACAGATTCTATATCCAAATAGATTTTATCTGCTCCTAATTTTAAAACCGCGTATAACGAAATACGTTATAACTGATCAGTAGCAAAGAAATCGCAGTCAGTATAACGCTGCTGGCCGTCTTGGTATCGATTTGGATCCGTGAAGAGAAATCCCTGGAGAGACGTGCAGGCATCGATTATTATTAGAAGCGGCCGAAACTCGGCCAATTGACCGCGCTACGAATTAGCACATGCAAACCCCATAACAATGATTTCGCAGTAGTTGTTCTCATTTTAGTCACTTTGTTTGTGAAACAAACAAAAAAAGAAAGAATAGTTTGTTACAGAAAAAATAAAAACATTTTATAAAAGAATAGCTGGTTTTATCAAAGAGATAGAAAGAGAGAGAGAAAGTTTTACATTACTTTATTTTTAAAAATTATTTTCTGAAAATGGATTAAGGAATGAAAAAAATAGTAAATAAATTAGAAAATATTTAATAATATTAAGGTTAATACTAAAAGATTAAGGATTTAAAAAATATTTCATCAATTATTCGTAATTTAGTATTTTTTAAATTAATAAAATAACAATAAATTGTGTGGAAATTTTCAGAAAAGAGCACTAGAAGAAACGTACGATTATTAAATATTTTTTAATGTACTTGAACATACATGTACTGACGTACATATACTGCTTAACTCACACTTTACAATAATTATCGTAGAAGAAGACCTAATTGAGTAACTACATCAATTCAATATGTAGTTCAATTTATAAATAGGAATTTTATCATCCTGTAGGGCCAATGTAATGTTCAAAGAACAGAATTGAGGTATAGCGATTAAGGGAAAACATTTAAGAAAGCAATTCGGAGCATCATGTCGAAGAGATTATCGATGGCGATGAGGAGGTAGAGAAGAGAAGAAGAAGAAACTACGCTCGGGCATCGGGACGCGTTGTCGCTGGCATTGGTAGCAGTCTCGAGATAGCCGTCGGCTGGCTTCCTCACTGGCTCGGGCGATTTATTCGGGGATTCCTAGATAGTCGAAGTGGCGAGCGAGTGACTCGACGACGTCGACGGAGATCGACGAGGAAGATCATTTTGTATACGTAATTCAATTGCTT